TGACTTGCCATAGCAACCATTGATTTCCATAGCAACCAGTGACTACTATTGCCACCATTGACTCTCCATAGCAACCATTGCAACATAGCAACCACTGAATTTCCATAGCAACCATATACTTCTATAGCAAACAGTGACTTTCTACTGAAACCATTGACTTTCATAGCAAGCAGTGACTTCAAATAGCAATTAGTGACTCTCATATCAACCATTGACTTTACAAAGCAACCATTGATTTTCCATAAGGTCATTGACTTACCATAAAAACCATTGACCTTTCATAGCAACTGCCTGCTTCCATAACAACCATTGACTTCTATTGCAATCAGTAACTTCATAGCAGCCATTGACTTTTCATAGAAAACTGTAAATTCCCATAGCAACCAGGACTTACATAGCAACCAATGACTTACATAGCAAACATTGACTTTTTACATATCAACCAGTGACTTCCCTAGCAAACATTTAATTTTCTTAGAAACAAGTGAATCTACCTTGAATTTCATAGCATTCAGTGACTTCCAAAGAAACCACTGATTTTGTATAGCAACCAGTGACATCTTTAGTAACTATTGTTTTCCTTTAGCAAAAGCAACCAGTAATGTTTTTACAGGAGTAGGCAGTAGACATTTTATTTTATTTAAAGCCTATGAGGACTAGAAACATGCATACTAACGAACAGTGTAATACATCACCATATATACATAATATCCACACTGAATCATCAAATGTTTGCACTTGCAACATTTCAGATTCAAATATGAACTTTATGATTTCATTTTAAGATTCATGTTTTTATTTCTGCTTTTGCTTATGAATATAGATATACAGTTTTACTTTTTAGAGTATAGATATTCAGGTGAGCATTAGTATTAGGGCCATCACAGTCGTCTTGTTTAGATCAAGGGAGCTAATCGTCTTTCAAAAATTTAAAGCATCATGCCTCCAGATTCATTCAAATTTTCATAAAAACTTCCTCTTTTAAGTAAAGTATTGTGAAGTGAACAAAGAAAGTAATTTACACATTGCCAAAGGCAATTACAGTACATGTAAATTACCAAAAAGGGGTCAAAATATACAAAAATGTCCCTTACAATACGTTACTGGATTAGTAACACAATGGAAATATCCCATAATGGTGTATTGACTTTTATTGTAATTACTTTTTACATGGTTTATATATTCACACCTGTTTTGTATATATCTATTAATGAAAGGAATGTGTCAAAAGATTTGATATTAATACATGTAATAAAATTTATTATCAAAGTTGGTATTGTTCTATCAATAATTCTAGTCGTCTAGATACATACAGTTCTATAAAATATAAATTTGAATTTGAAAGTTATCTTGATTATTATTAAGGACAAAATATTTCGAGTTGCGAATTACAAAATTTCGCACATCATCTCACGACTTGTTTATTGAAAAGGGAAGATATACAAACGTACCTAGACTGGAAAGAATATGCAATAATTGTTCTTCGAGACAAATTGAAAACGAATTTCACTTTTTGTTTACATGCTCACAATATGCTGACCTTCGCAAAATATATCTCAGACGCTACTATTATACATGGCCTACATTGCAGAAATTGACTAATCTATTATTGTCTGAATCTAAAATAATGGTAAGAGATCTTTCTAAATATTTATATTATGCAAATTTGATAAGAAAATAGTTTTACAGAACCTAAAACACGTCACAATTATGAATTCATATGTTTTACACTGTATTTTTATGCTCCTTGAAAAATCCATGTCTTCTGCCTATTATTATGTTGTATGTGCTATAAACATATATTGTATGTTTAACGCAATAAAATTATTTGAGTTGAGTTGAATAAATTGTCTTGCATTTTATTGTGTATTTGTTTCTATTCAGTTGAATAGTTTTCAGATTATAGTATCATACATGTGGTATTTTTGTCGCACAAAAATGCTTAGAAATTGACCATTGTAATCTCATGATACCTGTAATGCTGATAAGTATTCACAATATCTTTAAACAACAGCTTTGTCTGAACCAATTAGCAGATTTTGACCAAAATTCATGGGAATTATATTGAGATGCCCCTGCATAACTAGTTAAGTCTGATGGGTTAGTAGGTTACATGGGTCAAGAGTTTACTAGTATATTTAATATGGATGTGCCCTGCCTAGTGGTACTCTACAAGAGTTATAATATTTAAATGTTGCCCATGGGATCAAAATTGGCCCTACTATAGGGGTGACTTAGCTTGCTTGGACTTATATTGTTCCATCTTGTCTGTTCAAAACGTTATGGCTTAAATTAGTGTCTTATGAATCTATACAAAAGTCACAAAATTAAATGTACTATACATGTACCAGTCATGCCTCTGAGGCAAAACGATGGTATGAAGTATCTCTATGTGGGTCAAAATTAGCCTTGTTACTTGATGACACAAAGGCATACAGAGGAAAGCACATTTGAACCCTGATGTCACTTCTTATTGCATACTAATATATCTTTGCATTTTCGACCTCAGCAAAACCTTTACATGTTTATACCACGCTCTTAAGTGCAAACATCGTCCTGCCTGAGACTCGCTTATGTTTCTTTGACTTGTCTATGAAACTTACTGTAAAAATACCTCCTCAGAAACTTGAGGAAACACTGTAAAAATACCTCCTCAGAAACTTTAGGAAACTTACTGTAAAAATACCTCCTCAGAAACTTAAGGAAACTTACTGTAAAAATACCTCCTCAGAAACTTTAGGAAACTTACTGTAAAAATACCTGCTCAGAAACTTTAGGAAACTTACTGTTAAAATACCTCCTCAGAAACTTTAGGAAACTTACTGTTAAAATACCTCCTCAGAAACTTTAGGAAACACTGTAAAAATACCTCCTCAGAAACTTTAGGAAACTTACTGTAAAAATACCTCCTCAGAAACTTGAGGAAACTTACTGTAAAAATACCTCCTCAGAAACTTTAGGAAACTTACTGTTAAAATACCTCCTCAGAAACTTTAGGAAACTTACTGTAAAAATACCTTATCAGAAACTTTAGGAAACTTACTGTTAAAATACCTCCTCAGACACTTAAGGAAACTTACTGTTAAAATACCTCCTCAGAAACTTTAGGAAACTTACTGTAAAAATACCTTCTCAGAAACTTAAGGAAACTTACTGTTAAAATACCTCCTCAGAAACTTTAGGAAACTTACTGTAAAAATACCTCCTCAGAAACTTTAGGAAACTTACTGTAAAAATACCTCCTTAGAAACTTAAGGACACATACTGTAAAAATACCTCCTCAGAAACTTTAGGAAACTTACTGTAAATATACCTGCTCAGAAACTTTAGGAAACTTACTGTTAAAATACCTCCTCAGAAACTTTAAGAAAACTTACTGTTAAAATAACTTATCAGAAACTTTAGGTTACTTACTGTAAAATACCTCCTCAGAAACATTAGGAAACTTACTGTAAAAATACCTCCTCAGAAACTTTAGGAAACTTACTGTTAAAATACCTCCTCAGAAACTTTAGGAAACTTACTGTTAAAATACCTCCTCAGAAACTTTAGGAAACTTACTGTAAAAATACCTGCTCAGAAACTTTAGGAAACTTACTGTAAAAATACCTCCTCAGAAACTTTAGGAAACTTACTGTAAAAATACCTCCTCAGAAACTTTAGGAAACTTACTGTAAAAATACCTCCTTAGAAACTTAAGGACACATACTGTAAAAATACCTCCTCAGAAACTTTAGGAAACTTACTGTAAATATACCTGCTCAGAAACTTTAGGAAACTTACTGTTAAAATACCTCCTCAGAAACTTTAAGAAAACTTACTGTTAAAATACCTTATCAGAAACTTTAGGTTACTTACTGTAAAATACCTCCTCAGAAACATTAGGAAACTTACTGTAAAAATACCTGCTCAGAAACTTTAGGAAACTTACTGTTAAAATACCTCCTCAGAAACTTTAGGAAACTTACTGTTAAAATACCTCCTCAGAAACTTTAGGAAACTTACTGTAAAAATACCTCCTCAGAAACTTTAGGAAACTTACTGTTAAAAATACCTCCTCAGAAACTTTAGGAAACTTACTGTTAAAATACCTTCTCAGAAACTTTAGGAAACTTACTGTTAAAATACCTCCTCAGAAACTTTAGGAAACTTACTGTTAAAATACCTCCTCAGACACTTAAGGAAACTTACTGTTAAAATACCTCCTCAGACACTTTAGGAAACTTACTGTAAAAATACCTCCTTAGAAACTTAAGAAAACTTACTGTTAAAATACCTCCTCAGACACTTTAGGAAACTTACTGTAAAAATACCTCCTTAGAAACTTAAGGAAACTTACTGTAAAAATACCTTCTTCAGAAACTTTAGGAAACTTACTGTAAAATACCTTCTCAGAAACTTAAGGAACTTACTGTTAAAATACCTCCTCAGAAACTTTAGGAAACTTACTGTAAAAAACCTTCCTTAGAAACTTAGGAAACTTTACTGTAAAAATACCTTCTCAGAAACTTTAGGAAACTTACTGTTAAAATACCTTCTCAGAAACTTTAGGAAACTTACTGTTAAAATACCTCCTCAGAAACTTTTAGGAAACTTACTGTTAAAATACCTCCTCAGACACTTAAGGAAACTTACTGTTAAAATACCTCCTCAGACACTTTAGGAAACTTACTGTAAAAATACCTCCTTAGAAACTTAAGAAAACTTACTGTTAAAATACCTCCTCAGACACTTTAGGAAACTTACTGTAAAAATACCTCCTTAGAAACTTAAGGAAACTTACTGTAAAAATACCTTCTCAGAAACTTTAGGAAACTTACTGTAAAAATACCTTCTCAGAAACTTAAGGAAACTTACTGTTAAAATACCTCCTCAGAAACTTTAGGAAACTTACTGTAAAAATACCTCCTTAGAAACTTAAGGAAACTTACTGTAAAAATACCTTCTCAGAAACTTTAGGAAACTTACTGTTAAAAAGGAATTGACCGGTAGAGGAGCAAGGTATGGTATTATCGACAGTATACATCAAAATTCAACCTAAAATCTTATTGGTTAACTAAAGTGTTCGAGAATATTGCAAATACGATTAACGAGTGTTGGTAGCTGAATGCTTTTATGTTTAAAAGGTGATTATATTATTTTTAATTTATGAGAACCACTCAGGTTTGAAGACACTAAATGGCTGGTGTTACCGACAGTTGTACGGTATTATCGACACAATAAAAAAATGATAAAATATTGTATGTTAAACTTTAGTTTTTAGATTTTTCAGGTAAAATAATATACAAAACGATGTATTACATACCTTTTATACCTGTGCAAGATATTAACCACGCAGTCAGATATAGTGAAGAAGCTTGTAGAAGGCGTCATTGCACGGCTTACCAAGACGAAGTGTGAAAATTGTATACTTTTGTGGATATAAGAATAAAAAGACAAACGGAATATTTTATTATTTTATTTCTTTTCCTTTAAATCATGATTTTACTATGTATTCTCTTAGTTATTTATTTATTATTACTAACAATCATAAATAACTTCAATAAACATTTTATTACAAATACTGTGGCAGGTTTTAACTTTGCTTTCTGCTGGAGGTTTGACATAGGAAGAGGTAAACAACTAGCAGAACTCACAAGTAAAATTGTAACCTGAGATTTCGCTAGCTGTTTTACCAACAAATTCTTCAATATCAGTACACTCGATATGCCACCATCTAGAGCAGCTATCACATCCTATCCATTCCTCTGGCAAACCTTCAGCAGAATGGCAACCAGGACACACTTCTGCCTCATCGTAATCGCTGTCATCCATGTACGAGATTTCCATCTCTTCATTTTCATTCTCACTATCACTACATTTATCAGATTTTTTGCATTTCATTTTTTTCTTAAAAGCTTTCTTAAGTTCTCTCTCCCTTTTCTTTTTCTCTTTCTCCTGCTCTCGCTCAAGTTTTTTTCTCTCTCTCTCTATCTTTCTTGCTTGTTTTTCTTCTTCTTCTTTTTTTTTCTTTTCATCCCTTTCTTTCATCATTTTCAATGCAACTGATCCGGACAGAGCTTTTGGCAGCTTACCCCGCAAAGTATTATTTGTTTTTTTAGCTTTAATTTCTGGTACTCTAAGTTTAAAGAATGCTGGGGAAACATAATCTGGAGAACGGACATTTTGTGAAAGGATTTTAAGTGGCTGTTGAAGTAACGGAGTGGATTGCTGTACAGATATATCGGTTGACGGGTTCGAACTCGGCACAGTAGCTTGGACTGAACCAGAAGATGTACAAGGATCAGAGCTAGAATCAGAAGAAGGGATTTGTAATGTACATGCCATGCTAACCTGGTCTACATTCACACTTTTTGTTAGTTCTGCCTGGTTCGAACTCGGCACAGTAGCTTGGACTGAACCAGAAGATGTACAAGGATCAGAGCTAGAATCAGAAGAAGGGATTTTAAATGTACATGCCATGCTAACATGGTCTACATTCACACTTTTTGTTAGTTCTGGCTGGATGAGTGGGGCAGACAACTTTGAAGGGCCTAACTTTGAAAGATCAATCCCTTTAATAGACAGTGGGTATAAACCTGACCTCTTAAATGCACTTATACTATTGGCTAATGTTGTTACCTTGTCCCAGGCTGTTTTGAAAACGCTTGGGAAATGGTATTTGGTAAATGGTTGCCCAAGATTTTCCATTTGCCAAGCTTTAACAGCCACAGACCATTTCATTTTCATTGGACTAAAAAGTCCAATGTCACAAGCCTGCAACACATGCGTTGCATTAGCGAGTAGACAGTAGAGTATTATGCTGTTATCAGCACAATACTCTGCTGCTACTCGACTGATATGCGTACTATGGCCATCTACAAATAAAATCACTGGTTTATGAATGGATTTATCATCAACAAAAGCATTGAATTCTCTAAGAAAGGATAGGAACAAATCTGAATCCATCCATCCGTTAGCAGAATGACCATAAATGGCCTCAGGAAACCCAGATAAAGCATCATCACGAAACCGCTGCCCAGGATACACTATTAAAGGTGGCATATAATCCCCACTGGCATTCAAGCATGCCATCACAGTTATCTGAGTTTTGTCACTAGACAAAACCTGATATACATGCCTGCTCCCTTGTGGAGCAAGAACCTTTTTTGATGTCACGCTTATTGGAAAGCCCGACTCATCGGCATTGAAGATTCGTTTTGGATCTCCTATCAGCTTCTGAAAGTCGGGTACCTCCTTTTCAAGGTACTCAAATAGACCCTTGTACCAACCTGCAAATAAAGACAAAGGGCTATATGCAAGTATGTATGCGATTAAAAAGATAAGGAATCATCTTTGCAGTTCAGAATAAGAAATAATTATGAACTTGAGGCACTTACCATCGACCATCTCGTAAGAGATTGAAGCTCTCTGGTGCCCTAACCTTGTTGAAATTTCCGGGTTCCTGGTCGTAAAGGCTTTATACCATGCCTTACCAGGTAAATTGTCAGTGAACTTTGTTTTCCTTCCATCAGTATCCAGCACTCGCTTCACTTCGTACAGAAGCTCTTTCCTAGTAAGTGGGTACCCTTAAATAATATATATATATGAAGGCATCTTGAAAAGAAAAAGAACACCTCAATTTTGATTGTTTATTGATCTATGTTAATAAATAAAATCAAAGCGTGGCTTCATTTATAGATAAATTATTTTTATATTTTTTTTTTGACAAGTTACATGGCCTTATATGAACAGTTATTTGTAGTATATTGCAAATAACCGTTTATATATATGTATGTCACATAACATGTTAATAATCTTTATTACAAATTAATAATTGTACAGAAATATCATTTATGTTTTGAAATCTGTATTCATACCTATTTCTGCCATCAATGTAATGTAGTTAACTAGTGTCTTCTCTTCTGCCTGTGTTAACTCGGGTTTGCTGCCAGGCGGGGTGGGGTCCATAGGCACCCTGCCATATAATTTATCCAATAGGGTGGTTCTTGGGACCCCAAATACCTTCGAGGCTTTGGACTTAGACATTAAGCCCTCCTGGATCGCACTGATAGCACTGGACATTTTGCTTGGGCTATATGTAACCCTCTTTTTAACCTTTAGCTGATTTGACATTCTATAAATAGGAAAATGGATATAGTTCACTTTAAATTGATCAAAACATTTCTTTTACATATAATTAAGTATTTTTTAGTAAGTGAAAGACTATAAAAATATTTATTGGTGCAAGTCATAAGTATGTCGATAACACAGACCCTTGCTTATTTTAGGATTGTGTTATCGACACCCACGCATATTATGACTATTCGAGTTTTACAACATTTAGTGGTTTGAAACCATTTCAACATCTACAGATAACACCGTCATTTCAAAAATAATAAGGCGCGCTCGCGTGTTTATCACAGTAATACGAATATAACATAACACCGTCTCTTACCTGATGACGTAAGCGGCTTGGTCGTCTCACTCTTCTCAAAAATTTTGACGATAAATGTTGACAGAAAAATGTCCTGATGTTCAAAACTTCGCGGGTTTGGACTTTTACGTAATATGTGACGTAATTTGATACAATATGACGTAATACATGATTACAATAAATATATGTCGATAATTACAACCTGTCGATAATACCATACCTTGCTCATGTATGTATGGTTATTTAAACCGTATTACAAAGATTTTCTAGACATTGTTTACGTTTTAAAATCATCCGTGAGAATGACGATCTGCCTACCGTTATGAAGGCGACTTGTGTTTCGTTGATATCAATGAATACAAAACAACATTTAAAATTGTATTGTCCTGATATTAGGTATTTATCACATACCCGTGCCGCTTTTGCGACTCCTTAAAAAAACGGTATTGCATGACGTACCGTGCATACATTTTGACATGGCGTCATTTACGTTATACAAACATAGCGTAAAGACGCGCTAAATGTTAACGTTACACTCATAATGAAAATGTTATTCTTTTTCACTGTAAACAATTTTTATTTTGGTATGTGATAAGTAAGATATTACTATAGTCTGTCCCATTAAAAATGGAAATGAACTTTTGCCTGGTGTGAATTAACAAAACGAGGTTGAATGAAAATTTAACTATTTTTGTAAACTAAAAAAAAGTCACCCTCGAGATTTTTCAGGATTTTACTCTAAAATGTCTACTTTTCTTGTGAAAGCAAATTTTGATTTCTCTATGGAAAATCTCTGTTGTTTATTTTCCGTAGCCATTGCCGAAGTACTCCTCATTTGAAGATGAACGGGAGAAAACACGTGTTATGTTTCTAAAATATACATGAGGTTCAGTTCTCGGGGTCGTTTCATGATTATTTTACAAAGCTGGATCTACAAGATGTAACAGTTTAGTTGCAATGCATGATGAAAAACTTTAAAAAAAATGAAAAATAAGCAACAAGAACACCGAGTCAAATGGATAAAATATCTCGAAATTACACTTACTTTTAAGCTGAATAGAATTCCTATGAATTTCGGAATAGATATTTATAAACGTCCCATCTGAAGATTCCTTCATTGCCAGTATCTATCCAGTTCCGTAGATCCGATTTTTTCTACTTCGAAACTCCTAAATGACTAGTTCTGGCTTCCAAAACTTTATAAGCCGCTTTTTAACATTTTTGTTTTTCATCTGATGCGGCATTAAACGTCATGTCATAGTATATAAACGGGTACGCTGAAGACCTTAAGCTACTAAATGACATGACTCCTACACTTGTCACTTATGATGATCCAGATTTTTTAAACTGTTAATCCGTCTCATTATTAAAACATTGTTCAATTTGTGGAGTTATCTGGGTTAGCAAATGAAATATGTAAATGAAACACATCATAATTCATTATGTTCCAAATCCATAATTCAAGAACGGACCATCAATTTTAGTTGTCAACATCACGATGCTTATTTACTCTTGAAAATGGATTCCAGACGAAACTTTATTACGTCAACAACAATTTACGAAATATATGACGTAACAAAAATGCCTCGCGATTCCAGTTGCGGCATTGACAGAGAGCGGCTAGGCATTATGTAACCTCAAACAGATAATTTTAAGCGTTGAGATGAATTTGTCTTGATGGAATTTAAAATAATTTTTGTATACCCAGATTTTGCAACTTAACTGTAAAAATACACCTTCAATTCATATATGAATAATAAAACTTTTGATAACATTTAGATCATCTAGATAATTTTAAACACACTTAATGACATGAATCTACAACAGTACAATACTTCTTCCATTAATTACATATTACATTCGTTTTGATTTTATGTTTTAAACTATTTTACATATTTCTCAGAAATAATTTCCCTACATATAATCTCGTTTTTCATGACTTCTGTAAATCCTACTATTTTAGCTACAAAATATACAATATGCCGTATTTTTCTCCCGCGAAAAATATGCTAGATCTATTGTATTTTCACTGAATATTTTTAAATTTTAGGAAGGCTAAAATTATTGAGAAAGTCACTCGGTGTTTCTCTTTGACTCGATCTCCCCTTCATATTAACATAATAATTATATGTAACACTTTGAGTCTAAAAAAAACACACTTATTGTCGCTTATTGAACACTCCAATTCAATTTATTCAAACTTATTCTTAATAATATCAAATCAGTGAAATCACTGACATTTTGTTGAATTGTGAGACGGGAAGTTAAATTTGTATTTACAAACTTAAAGTGTATAGGCCTACGTTTGATTGCTAAAACTAGAAAGCATGATATTATATTCTTATAATTTAACATTTTCCTCGAACGCAAGTCTGTGTTCTCTCATTAGCCAGGGAGTTAGTTAAAGTAGACACTGTGGTAACAAGCAAAGCAATACTGAACATATAGTGAATCAGTTTTCCTTTCTATATATTTTTTGTCAGATTTACATGATAATGTAGTATTTGTTGGCGATTTTTTGTGAAAGTTGAAACCTACGGAAAGTTTTAGCGCACTCACATCGCACCCGAAATAAGAAGGGCTACTTATTTTTGTATCCCATCGAACCTGGTCAATTTAATTATTTTTGAATAGAAGTGATACATACTAATGACAAGAAATGTGTAAATGAAACATTAATTAGCGAAGAACAATTTTTTATAGTCTTCTAGCTGGGTCATGTGGGGGTTACGTTCATTGAACGCCGCCTTTCCTTGTTGATATTGTTTATCATATTCTAGCTAGTGTTCCCGCTCCCTACGACATGCTGCGGTAAGATACGCACTTTATTGGAAAGCTATCTAATCAAATCACTTCATTGTTCGTTTTTATCTTAAAAAATACGACAGTTTATCATGGTTATTAATTGATGTGTGTAAGAATTTATAAAGCGGTTAGCGATATTTTAGCTTTAAATGATTTTGATTATTTTAATAATAGTTTGCTAGTAAAATTGCCTTTTTGACACCAACTTTGTTCTCATTTTTCATTTTAATGATAACATTTAGCTATTGATCAGTAAGTAAATAAATATAATCAAATTTTTATAATTAACGAGTACATTTCACCGTAATTGTGAGACGAACCCTAAATGACGTCTATATGGGCGCCGCCATTTTGAAATGGACGTCACGTCAGGTTACAACGTAAGTCAACGGGGAAAAATATAATTTTAACATTTTGACCATATTACTGACTTTATGGAAAAAATGAAAAACATGCCTAGAGATATTGACGTCAGGGTTAGGATGACATTAATTTAAATGATTTTACTATTATATTAAATAAAAAATGGAATGTTCAAATTTGATGGGACAGACTATAGCATATTCGTGTAGCTTCATTACTAAATTTATTGGACTTGTTGAATAGTATAATATAATTAACAATCGGAGGGCTGCACAATATAATTTCATTGAACTATTTCAATAAATTTTGTATTGAGCCTACACACATTCAATATCATCTATATCTTAGACATTTGTGAAACTACTATGGGCTGCTAAATACTTTAACACAAAGTAGATTTTCATGATAATCAAAAGGAGTAATGTAATGTTTTTGTGTTTCTTAAAAATGATCCAAGTTTACTGAACAAGATGAAAAGTAGAAAATTATACCGAAATTCGGCCTTTCCGCTGCTTTGAAAGTATATATTTTCTCAATATTTCTGAAAAAATAACTCCAAACAATATTTGTAGGTCCATTTTATCACAATAGTGAGACACAGTAGTACATGAAATAATTGTATTATTTCACAATATGACAAAAATTAACTGTTTTATCAGCTTCTAACTTTCCCCATTTTTCTCCTCCGCGACACAATTTTCCCCTCTCCATGCCACCATTCAACTTAAACTGAAAAAAGAAGAAGAAAAAAATACATGTAGCATGTTATAAAGTGTACTTATTAATCTTTACTTGACTGCCTGTATAATCGGTAGAATAGTTTATGCCAAAGGAATGACGGTAGCGTTAGAGCAGCGAAATCAACACCAAACTTTAAAATTAAAAAAGAATCTGATGGTATCTTTGTTGGGACACGTTATTTTCAGTTTAACATTATAAATAAAACTTACGCCAAAAATAGTTCACCCATATTGTTGGATGATATACCGTGGGTGATGTGGATTTTTTTTATCTCACAGGCATATTTTTTGTTGGGATTTACTTCGCACCAACACAGTATAATTATGTCATATGGCGACTTTCTAGCTTTACTGGTGGAGGAAGACCTGTTTATATTCTTTGAGGCGTAAATGGGCACCTCGGTAGATTCGCCGACGTCCCGTAAGCTAGCTAGATAGCTTTCTCACTTGAAAGATGTAAAATACATTTAGAATCTCACTGTTAAGCATAAAGAAAAATATCACAATTGATCACGCAGTTTTTATATATAGTATATTAAAGTACAGGGAAAAATCGGAAAATATCAGTTACGTTACTTAACACTACGAGCAATTATGGTTCATTCCGTATTTATCCTTTGAACTGTAGAAATCAATTATTGTTTTCTGAAAAGCGTTTTACTAATTCATGTTCCGAAAAAATAGTAACAGTAAACATTATAGCTACAATATCACGATGCAGTAATATATGACCGAATGAACCGTGTACCGAATTTTTTGCTGCTCTGAATCGGTATCACCAAATTACGCAACTGAGGTCTTTTTTGGCTCAAATGGCACACAGTTTTCTCAAGTTTGAATTTCTTGAAATTTTGTGGTTGGAGCCATAAGCTTTATATACTGTTTATTCCAATCATTGAAATGATATGAACAATTTTATGTATATCTTGGACTTAAAATGTTTGTTTAACTTACTTTCTGCCCGTACAGGAAAATCTTTGTTGCAGAGGAAATGTTTTCATATACTTACCAAAACATTAATCGAAAATTGATTATTGAATTTTACAAGAAATTTTTATTTTGATACGACTGTTAATATATATCATTTATTTCAAATTTAGTTTGATAAAATAACATAAATTGTTCCCTTTGTAGAAAAATATCCCTTATGCGCCAGAAAAATGTCCATTTCTTCGGCATATGATCTTTCAAAACATTAATAAATAAGTGTAATACAACTTTAATTATAATACTATATACGATATATATAATAAATTCTATTTTGTAAACTAAATGTAATTTATAAACATTCATTGTGCCTTTTATGCAAAAATATCTCGAATATTTTCGAATTAAACAAATCTTCAACAGCTGTAAAGGACCTCTCGCATGCTTCTTTTTAAAAAAGCAAACTTGCATACATTGTAGTGTCGGTGCGCTTAAACACAACCTCCTACGCAATGAAAAAGACGTTTAGGCGTTTTATTGCGATGTAATTGTTTTAGAGGGTATTATTACGGATATTTTTATTTATATCAGCAATATCTATTCAAACAACGTATAAGTGTTATGATTGGCTGCCAATGATGTAGTGACATGTTCCGCATATAAGAGTATGTATTTAAGAGGCGCGCATCCGGGTTGCATCGTATTTTAACAATATCGTTTCACATTGTAAAATATGTTGAAAGCCTGGCTGTTAATTCTCTTTTTGGGAGATATTAAATTTGTGCTTTCGGATGAGCCTTTGTCGCCAAGTTATTTTCAAGAGCTATTGTTGGAGAAAATGACCAAGATAGATTTGAATGTTCAGAAAGTAATGGAAAGATATGATAAGATTGATAAAGAAAAGGAACAAGAAAATAACGACATTTCTAGGTAAGAACGGTTTCTCTCCCTTGTTGCAATCAATATCGCGTCAAACTTGTTTAAGTAATTAGTGTGCAGCGCTCGATATCGTGTCTAAGTTGCTGAAACATTTTTGTAGTACTCAGTGACGTGTCAAATGCTCAGAAAGATTTTTTTATAAAGCTCAAGTTTCTACTAAGGGGCATTTCAAGCTTTCAGTAAGTACGGCATGCAAAAAAACTCCTTGAATGGCTTTTCGGTACAGAACTTTTCAGGTAGACATGTTTGCTACATTATGTTCGGTGGTATTTTGGATAGCGCGTGTGAAAATGTGTTTGTTTTCACTTCGGTGTCTGATTTAAACCATATTCACGAAAATCAAGGACATTTTCTTTTAATTTATGACTACTAACATAATGACATCAATTTTTGCCTGTCTTTATTGAAGGAGATGACGTCAGACGTTCAACAAATACGCGAACGCTGCGCAAGCAACAGTAAAAGTATTTAAGTGAAGAAGTGTATTTAAATTGATAATCATGATATTTGGAACAAAACGCAACAAATAACTTTAATGTTAAGCTACAAATTTACGATATCATTAAAAACATACGCCAAAAATAGTTCGGTAGAGCTTTATCACACGCACTTTGGATGATATGGACTTTATTATACAATATAATATGAGGTTAGTATACATTGTTAAGAACAATACTTAAATCTTTTAGTTTACAAAACAATATTGAATGTGGCAATACCCGAGTCTAATAAAGTTTTCTAGCTGTGTACTAGTCCAACAGAATCAAGTGTTTAATGAAATCTTTAGTTTATTCCACCATTTGTTTGACATTGTGACAGAACTTTGTTGATTCAAGTACAACAAGGATTTGATACCTGATTTTTTATTGCTTTTACTTTCAAAAAGGAAAACGAAGCTAGATTGAATATAATATGCATTTCATTTACATAATGTAGATATTTTAAACTCTGACAATGAAATCGAGGTTATATTGAGATGATATGCACTTAAACTGAACGGTTTGGACTTACAAAATAAAAACAAGCCTATATTGGATACGACATGCACTTGGTATGCACTCTTGCGACTCTGGAAATGAAAACGAGACTGAATTGATAATATTTGATCCGATAATGATTTCACCTGGAACGTCACCTGATACTTAATTTAAATCATTAATTCTTTTTAATACCCTTACATGATATAATTCGTATTTCAGGTTTTCGACCACTGGACAAAAGGTTCTGCTAGTGAAAGATCTTGAAAAAGATGGATGGAACATGGTATTTCGTGCAACATCAAGTAATGGGCAAAACGTTTTTGACGCATGGACAAAAGGTGCTTATTATACTAAAATAATCGAATTTATATTATATTAATATAGATTTTAATGTAATTGTATTACAACATTATGGACAGAAAATAAATGCGACATAATGTTGCATCTAAAGATATACACTGTATCGACGAAGGGAGTCACGTGATCTGTAGTAGGTAAACATACCCACGGCCCAGCGTTTATGTATTTTTAATACATTTAATTTTGCTACAATTTCTTAGCAGTCAACAAATTTAAGTTTTTTTACTGACAAATAATAGAACAGACACTAAAAACTCACACATCATCTGAAGGAGGAGATGGGGTGCATGCCAGGACTTAAGTGGACTGCAGGAGCTCTCATTCTGTTTAACAGAAACATTTCTTTAACCCAAGACTTATGCTAAAATAGTTTTACATTCGGTTTTCAAATAATTTTTGTTTTTTTTCTTTTCATCAGTTTTTGAACTACTTGTAAATATCAATTTCTTTCTTTTTTCTTTTTTATTGGAGAAAAAAATACACTTATGAAATTTAAACTTGAATTAAGTATTCAATAAATATTTGCTCTTTATCTGTAAAAGTCCTCTGTGAACCCCTACCTACAAAAATGTTTAAATATGGACCAAAATCATTTTTCTCAAACTTATGAGAAAATTTCCTCACAAGATGTTTTCTTCAAAAATATGACTAATGAATTTAAAAAGCAATATTTGGAAGGTATGTTGATAATTAAAATGTTCATATACCCTGTCAGAAAGTTTCAGACTAATTTGTTATATACCATCAGATACAACATCTAATTATGGTGGCTGATTTGGTACACTTTTGTGCGTCGTGTTTTCGCTAGCGACAGCACGATAAAGTGCCAAACGGAGCTAGTGGCGACGACAAGTCGACAGTGCGACAACGCGCAAAATATATATAAAAAAAATGACAACCCTTTACCTTTGATGACACCTGATTTTAGCGACAAGCACTAGCTCGGAAGTAGCGATAGAGTAATTTTTCGTATACCTCCGAAAGAGGTAGCTTTATCAATGCGCATTTACCAGGCGTGTAATAAATACCACAGAAAGGCTTTATCATTAAAGCTGTTTTGTACATACTACTATATGTCTTGCCTATCTTGTCATATTTTTATGTAATATACAAGATCTACCATGTCAATGTGATATTACATTGAAATTCAATGATGACAGATCTTTTGTGTGCGTGTGCTGTTGTTGGTGTTGTTGTTTTCCTTTGGCTACGAACACAACAGTAGTTTAAAATGCATTTACAATATTCATTAACGCAATGGAAATTATTAATGGATACATACAACATGGAAATAGCCTTGTAAGTTTATCATCAGTTATTTTTTGTGGTCAAGATGTGTGTTTTCTTTCATTTTCTATTGTAAATTGTAATATTTACAACTTGTTTACTAACTTAAGTTACATGACTGGCGGGTCGATCGTAGGAAGAATATAAGATTATAACTTTCTAAGTCACCATGCACATACTGACGTTATTGCGATTGTAGTTTATTAATAGTTTATTAATAGTGTTTTTAATAATTTAGTAATTTATATAACTAATTATATCTCGTTATTCAGGGATTGGCATTTGCTCTGACAAACCAAAATCTATGGTACGATCGTATTCAAGTCACTACAGAAACAATGTTGTCTCAAACTGGGCCAATATTGGAGTAAAGTATGTCAAATATGCGTACTACGAAAACAACCAGGAAGTAGCCTACGTCATATTCAACGGATCCGGAAGTGATATCAACTCTTGGTTTGACAAACACCGTATTATTGCATCAAGCTACACAGACCTTACAACAACCCAGAAGTACAACTTTTTCTCGGTCGTTGGAAATTACGTTCCAAAAAGCCGGGAACGTCGCTTTTTCATCAATACATTATATAACACATGTGCCGGAGACTCTGGTTATCTGGTCGTTTCGGAAGATGAACCTCCCAATAATCTTTGCAGTTGGGATAAACATGCGAGTTATCCACAATTTTTATACTCGAAGATTAACTCCGTCGACCTCTGGGGCAGTCAATTGTTTGGAAGAGCCGACTATATGGCGATTTTCGTCAAAACTGAATAGACAGAAACTGAGTATTCAGTATTTTAATGCGGTGTTTGAATCAAGCGAGTTTTAATTTATACGTAAGCTTAACTTAGCCCATTGAATTAAGACTAAAATTTCGTTCTTACGAAAATTGATCGTCAGATTCACTGCATCATAATAATTTAAAGATATATTAGTTAAATTAAAACAAATGATTATATACATGTATAGTTACGTGTACTACAAACTAGAAATACTTGTATTTACTTTCTTGATGAAAATTATGTTAAAATAACAATTAAGCGTAGCAAATACTTTTCAAAGATTCTCAATATTTATTGTTAGACATTTTAAACAGTTATTTATTTATGTACTGAATATTTGTTTATCATATTCTAGTATTTGATAAAGTTCTTATCAGAATTAGTGAGGTTCCGGTAAGTTTTAAGTGGCTAATTACTTCCTTCCTTACCTACGATACTGTTCAGTTTCCAATAATTGTTCCCCTTTACATTGTACCTACATGCGATAAACTCAAAACACGTTGTTTAAGAATCGTACTAATATTTTTCTTTCCATGAAAAAAGATACGAAAACAACTCATTAATGAATAAATTGTTAAATAAAATGACATTTTTGATAATGACATAATATTTTCAATTATCCTTTAATCTTAAGCATCTCCCCACCAAATGCATGTGCATTTTTCTGAAATCTGTAAAATTGTTTGCATGACTGAACATTTTTTACAAATTATATCATTTACCCTTTCATGTGAGGGAGCGTCAGTGGTTCTACCCAGGTGCCAGTTCGTGCCTGAAATAATTCCAAGTAAAGTTGGAAAGTCTCCATATGATTTTTGTAGTGTCGGTGCGCAGCAAAAATAACACATGTTAGTTAGTTAGTTTTGTAATGTTGACTAAAATATTTATACAAAGGTAACATTTCTTTGTTACAGTATAAAACCTGGTCACGTGACCTTATTTATTTTCTCGATTCAGCCCCTTATTTTTTGAAGTTCATCAGGAAGGGGCATCACCAGGATGACTATGGCACCGAAAAATGTAGTTCTTTCCTCTTTTCGCGTCTTAAAAGTCTTTTGGTTGAAAGATCAAAAACTGAACATTTGTTTTCATCGGAATTTATTTCATCGGAATAATTATGTGCAAAATGAAACAAGCAGACAATTAAAGCTTTAACAAAGGATTATTTAAGAAAATTAATGAGTGAAACATGACAGGTGTGGTAGACGGATGTAGGATATTATTGTAGATGAACTTTGTCAAAAAACCATGTGAATAATACTCTGGATAGGACCAGGTTTCACAGATCATAACCGTATAAATGTATTTGTGTTTTTATTGAGGTTTTGTTTCTAAATTAACCACAGCTTATTGTATTTTTTTGACTGATTTATATCATCCTTTGCTTAAAGAATAAAATAATAACTTTTCAAATCTACTTACAACTTGCAAGGTAAGTGAATTATTGCTACTTTTGGTATGATTTTGATCATTACAGTCAGTATTTGTTCGGGGCAATAAATTAAATTATTGTTGTTTTTAGTTTTCGGAAAACATAAATTTACACTAAATGATGTGTTTTTGTTGTGGTTGAAAATCGACTAGTTTGCAATTAAAATTTCCATTATCTCAATTTTATGAATGCTATTTTAGGACTTTTACAATGAACTATATGTTTTGTTAATGATGTTTATTAAAATCGGTTGACAATGGCATTATATATATGACTATAAGATATTTCCCATTTCGACCGGTAAGTCAGTACTGGCATAATTTTTGCTCAGTCTTAACATAATATCATGATAGTTCTACATGTTCGTAATGTTTTAAATGGCGTATTATTGTAATGTGTTGTGTGTACGGCATTGGTCACTTGAATTGTTTGGATCAGATGGCTGTGACCTGCTCGGTACTGTCATGTTTTCATCGACTTTAGTCCGGATAGCATGAATCTGAAATAAAACATATTAATTAATACTAGTTCTTGATTTAAATATGAAGAAAGTCCCGACTAATTGGATTGAACCCTGATCAAGAGAAGATTTTAAAGGGTGTAAATCTATACATTATGAAATATTTAAATAGAATTTATCAACAGTAAAATCATATTATGTTCCATTATTATATAGGTGATTCCCGAAAAGTAAACATGGAATGTGTCTCTTATTTAATAAACAAGACTAATTTACGTAAACAGAATAGATGTTTCGAAACAAAATATCATTTTGCCATTTTATGTAGGGTTTTTATCCGTGTGCATGCACCATTCGCTCTTAAGGCAATTAATAACCATATTTATTTCATACAAGCATTTTGGAAGTATACTTTTTTTAAATTTCAACCAATAACTTTTGCATCAGATATTTAGCTTTATACACTTTAATAAATATATTCTCTCATTTGTTTGTAAAGAAAATAAAAGCAAAACGTAAAGAATATTAATTTCTTAAATGTGAAGCTTACATTGAAGATTCAGAAAATACAGAAACACAGCAAAATAGCATTTCTTAATTACAGTTCTTTTTAAATGATGATTCATCCAAATTCTGAGAAGTATGGTTTTTACCTTTGGTAAAAAAATGACAATTTCAATGAGAGTCGTTCCAATTAATAGACAAGCTGTCGTCACCCCGTATACCAGATCTTCATTGCCCTCCAGTAGAAGTGAAATAGTTAAACCAACCGCACTGAGAATTACAACGTTATAAATACACAAACCAATCTCATGCGAATCATTCAATGCTTCGATTTTAACCTGTGTAATGTAAGATGAAATATACAATTTAAAAAGAATGATGATAAAAAATTATTTTCATTTCAAACTATTTATATTATACCGTACATATATAGAGTGTTTAAGCCAAATAGAATACAATTGCAAAACGTCTAGGAGTTAAATAATTATAAAAGGCTACAGATGTTTTTTTTATATTCTATTGGCAAAGTATATTTAAAATTTTGATCTCAAAATAATTTAAAATACATTCTTTCTGTATCATTTAAATAAATTATGAAATTCTCTATGAAATTTGTTTTTTACTTTTCTTGTTTCCCATGCTAGGAACGATCCAAAGGTTAGCAATATACCATGGGTGATGTACAAAGCCCATTCAAAATATTTGGAATATTTCGACTCGCACATCCTGACATATGGTCTTACTTCAACGCCATTATTAAGGGTGTATACCTTCAACGAAAACGATAGGAAATATTTATTGCAGAAGCTTCTCCAGCATATTTCTTTCGATTCGATTCATCATTTAACAAAGTGTACGAAATATCAAGTATATGTAATTCTACCTTGGCTTATTCTGAATTTAAATTTGTTTTCACTTTTCTATCAATTAATATAGTATCAATATGTTTCAAATTGTGAATTGTGATTGCTAATTTAGAATCATTCGCAGACAATAGAAATATAAGATCGTTGGTAATGCTTTTGTAAAGTATCTGCTTCTCGTAGTATCCTTTCGATGCGAATTTTATAAAGTAACAATGACACATTAACTAGCATATTGATAAACAATATAAATATAGGTTGGGCCCCGAAATTGTTGTTTATAAATTTTGGCCAAACCCTTTTCAGTTACATTAATGTATTTATGTATAATATGTAAATATATATAATAAAATATGTTAAAACTTAACTATTTAACACAATTCAAAATCAATAAAAAGCGTTCATACCTCATTCGGTAGGAACATTTTGGTAGTTTTGTGAGGGCTTAATGTTTCCCATAGTATCAGAACGACAAGTTGCACCGCCACCAAACCCACTAAAACAATCAGCAGCTGGTAGTCCTTGATTGCCTGTCATACAATAATGTTTCAATGAATAATGATAAACACGGTTTATATCGGAGGCCTATGATCGCTTGTCGGAAACGTGCGAGGTATGTGGTAGTTTTAATTATTGTCAAGATGATAATTGAGGCTAACTTTATTTTATAATATGTAAAGTATGTTTAAATATATGTATACAATATATAAAAACTATAACTGGCATAAAAAAATAATAAAAAAATACATTGTATCTGTAGTACTAGAAAGAAAGAAAACAGATAAAATTCAAATGTTGGATTGAAAATGGTATAGGCTCCGTTGTAATGTATGCAAATAATCACACACGCTCAACTTCCTACATACGCCGACTTACGAGGGGAAAAATATTCATAAAACAAACAAACAAAAAACATGTTTTATATACCAAGAACAATGGACAAATAAGTATATCTCATGAACCTCTGATAAAACAAAGTATTTTGATCATGATACATGATGTATAGTAAAACAGTAACATTTTACCCGTTTAAGAAGTCTCTTATTGGTAAATATCCTATAAACTCTCCAAGTTTTTGAGAACAAGGCGCCAAATGTAATCGTGAATCCAAGACTAAAACTAAAAATTCGGGCCTGAAAATTAATAGAAAAATTTTGAGTTAGACGCAGTAGTTCAAAGGAACGTATTATCATATTTGGAAAAGTCTATGTTGAAATATCGTTCATTTTTCATTTTATATTTTCGGTTTGAAGGTTTCATTTGTTATTTCTTGTACCGCTTCCGTTTTCATTTGGAACATCTTAATCCGAAAAGTTTCGACTATTATCATATAGTTGCTTCTATCTCTGGTTACATTGAAAATGGCACTGTACAGCTAGATATAACACTGAACAGGTCAGTGATGGGAACAGAAATCTATATATATTTAATTGTTTTTATTTGATTTCCTTTTAGATATACACCTGTAGTCTATAGCCGGGCGAGCAAAAGCAAAAAAATTTTCCTCGTGTAATTTGTTTGCTTAAATGCTTTGATAAATTGATTAAATACTTATAGAACAATTTTCATTTTGGTATACTTATAAAACACTTCTCCAGCAATAAATGTAAAAAGGATTTCCAAAGGTTTCATTTGTAGATATCGCTCTTTCTTTACCTATATTTTTCTTGCTGAGCGGTTGCTTGCCTTCGTATAAGCGTGTACAATTGTAGTATACACTTAGTAACAATATGGCGAATATATGTCTTTTAAATCTTATATCTTCTTTCAAAGTAATATCTATCACGCATTTACATTTTGCATTTTCTCTTCCTCTCGTATCAGTCCTTTTGTGATAGGTACTGTTCGAAAAATTATTGTTTACATATCATCATTGTTTCTAATTTTGGTTTTGTTATGAATAGGATATATTTATTTCCAAAGGATATTACTTTTGTAAACGGATTCCATTCTCGTTGAAAGAAATGTGTATTCAGCATGCAATAATTTCATGATTTTCCCTGTATTTATGACGCAAATAAACCCAGCATCATTTACTTAATCGCTAATTAGAATATGAAAAAAAGGTTTTTTCGGTAATTTATGACATAATCTGCAGAATATTGGCTTATAATTCCAACATAACCTAAAACGTTATATGTTATCATTCTAGCTATATTATTCTGCATATCCAATCAGCAACCTATAAAATATATATGTGATGTGTGGAGAGAAAACACTGATGAAACAACTCACAATTATTATAAATGAGCATTGTTATGACAAACCAACATAATGGGTTTGCGACCAGCATGGATCCAGACCAGCCTGCGTATCCGCATAGTCTGATCAGGATCCATGCAGTTCGCTTACAAACCCTATTACAAGTAGAGAAACTGACAGCGAAGAGCATGGATCCTGATCAGACTGCGCGGATGCGCAGGCTGGTCTGGATCCATGCTGGTCGCAAACACATTATGTTGGTTTTGTTATGGCACGACCCAAATTAAATTTCATACATACCTTACAGACTGCGGCTTGGTAAGCTTCTTTGGTTTTAAAGAAGACTGTGCAGTAGCACAAGATACATCCGAACAATAAAATATTGTTGATGTTTGGAGATGACATCTTTATGAACCTGTGGTATAAATTAATTAATTCTAACATCAGTGGTTTCCATACAACTTTCAAATACAAAATGAACATATTTGTATCAACATATTATTACGACTAAACAAATTATATACAATCTTCAACTCATTTATCTGAAAATATTATTAATAAATGAAATTTATTTAATTTGAAACTAAATCAATGATAAAAATAAACATATTGTTTTGAGATAGAAAATGGTAATTTGGTTAAGAAGACTGCAAGCCAATAATTCTAAACAGGGACAAAATTTATTATATTTTACCTATCGAAACAATTAAATTTTATAAAGAACGTTTTATGAAATGTATTGTTTTTATCAAGTTTTAACATTGATTTTCTGCCAAAGTGTAAAGCTTGCAAAGAAAAATATTGCCATAATCGTATCACTGTTGATGCCCCTAGGGATAAGACTATATTTTAAAAAGCTTTATGTTACTCAAAAGTTGATTAACATTGCGGCAATTTACCTTTATGAAATAACGAATTCAACATAGTTTCGTTTCCAAATGCTATCATAGGAATTATAATGGGTTTCTGACCGAACCCACAAATTCATTATTGCTCTTATACTTAAGGGAAACAACACCATGTTGTAACTATACTGAAAGAGTGAGATTTTACAAAGGCCATCGATAGAGAACACGAATGACATTACATTAAGCTTTCACGATTTTAATGATAAAAATCTTGCTTACTTGTTGTTTCTGTAAAATACGTTGAAACTAAAGAATACGAGAGTAAGACAGACGCCGAATCCTGCCAGTGACGTCATCACTACCACAATGTATATTGGTATATATTGTTCTTCTTCTATAACGAGCGTCGAGTCTCTAGGTACGATTCCATCTTAAATATATAAAGTTTTAATTTAAAATGTTTGCACATTGACTTCAACTATCAACTCTAAAAGTGCAAACATTGGGGTGACTGAAAACATTTCTGAAGAAACTGGTCGTGTCAATGGTGTGTTAACAGCAATTCAGCTCACGCAATTTTGTTTGGATATACTCGAGCAACAAGGGTCAATGTATTGGACAGTAATGGTTGTCTAAGCACCCAACAGTTAGTTTAAACAATTTTATTTCACTTTGTACATTATTAATATATACAGTAAGCATATACAATCACACTGATAGATTTCGTGGATTGGAAAACAAGTCAAATGTGACTTATGAAAATTCCTTTCCACAAAATGGAGATTAGCGACCTAGTTATGAAAACCAAATCCGTCAAGGCCTTGCAGCATGTACTAACATTTAATTCAAAATGTTTTAGAGCTGGCTGATATTTAATTATACCTAGGTGAAATATTGCAAGTGATAATTTTCATTGAATGCGGAAATTCTTGCAAAAAGGGCCAGAACACCGCTAGAAATAATCATTCCAAAGACTGGAGACCCAAAAGATTTTGGAATAAGTAAATTTGAAAAATCTTCATATACATGTGTTGTTGCAATTATGAACTCCTGTTAGGGAGTTCGGTGACATAGAAAATACAAACAATAGACAATGACCCTAAGAGCTGGATACTTGAAACGTAGCAAATATAAAGCTTTTGCAATATTTTAAATTTCCTACTTTACACGGCAAGTTGTCTTAAATGATACTCAAGTATTTACTATGTAGAACGAATGTTTGATGTATACGTGAATCGATGCAATTTTATAGTAGATTATTACAATTTACTATAACTTGACGATTATGAGCAGTGAATCGCGTACTGTTTTCATTTGAATTTTTGTTAAGTATTATGTGATTTATATGTTCGTTGACCAGGCTAATTTCTTTATATTTAGTTATATATTGTCATTATTGCATATATTGGGCACATGTCAGGTTAATAAAATATAACTTACTTACTTGACTGGTAGTTTACATCATTGAGCATAACTTTGAAGCAGATGAAAAACAGTAATACATATATCCAAAGATTACTATCTTTTTGTAGCGAGGAAAATTGTATAGATTTGTATAGATAGTGTTACCGTTATTGTTAAGAAAGCTTACCAGAAATCCTTTCGAGCATGTTAAAAGAATATTGTTCTTTTTAAGGACATTTGATAAAACTTTGCCTTGTCTTGAATAAACTTTTCGATAAGGTGCAAAAAAAGTGCATTGAAAGGCTGGCGTTAAAACTGCGCTCAAGTTTGGACTAATAGAATTGGACAAACGTAACAATAATTAAGTTTAGTCTTGTACAGATAGGTCGTTAAAACGTCTTAAAGCAGACGAATATATCCAATAAGAGTAAGTAAAAAGACCCCTGATCAGAATCAGGAAAATCTCTTGTCTAGATTGAGATAAGTCACGCTTAAAATGTTAACACATTTCTGAACTAATCGTTCGTTTATGTTATATAAATGCATCTTGAAACTACTTCTATTGCCTACATAATTAAACAATTTCAAATTAATGTATCGAAAAACATTTAAAGATATAAGGTAGCAGTTTTAAAATGTCTATTTGAATATTGAACAATTATTTATATTTTACTGTATAGTTTTAAAACACGTATGTTTTGTGGTACTTTCATTATAATTTACCTTTCCATACAAGCGCTCCATCAAACCAGTCAAAATAAGGTGGATTCCTATCTTGTCTGTACATAGCTACTACCTTCCGCTCTCCACCTTCAAAATTTACATTAGCAGATATCACACCACTTAGATCAAAAAAGTAACAGACCATACCCTGTATTGAATTTGTATTTGTCACATTTTCTGGTTTTGAAATAGAGATAACAACTACACAAATAAATGTTTTTTTTCTGTTGATACAAACACAGGAGTTATTTCATTCTATTTATATCCTTAATCTATTGTTGCATATGAAGATCTAGCATATTGCTCAAGATTTTGCATTGAAAAATCCAGATACGTACCTCAATCTTCTGAAATTGCACAATTTTGTGAAACTTCCCCTAAGTGTGGGACGTTTGTAACTCTATTACAAATTACTGTTTTAAATAATTTTGATATGGGAAATAAGAATGAAAACGCCAAAAATATTTCAACGTAGATAAATGAAGGATCTCATTACCTTGAATTCGTTCAAGTTTGATAACTCTGTCAGGATCAACATCAGACGAAAGAACTATCCTTCCCGATAGGCCTGTCATGTTAGTTTTTGACATACAGTCTTTGATAAAGGCATTGATATCAGAATCATTGTATGTGAACATATCTAGAGATTTAGGATGTTCTGAAAACCAAATGGTTAAATATTGGATACACAAAACACACAAAAAATGTAAAAGACAAATAATGTTTTGTCATATCTGAAATGTATATATTTTTATAGACTGGTATAATATAAAAAGAATAACTTCTTTATTTTATTTGAAAACGATAGCGTTAAAGATTGTTAGGTTTAACTGTATTTCGATAAAAAATAATGGAAAAAAAAAAGAATCGGATTGTTGATTTTTTTTATCTAGGATTAGTTTAAATTAAAGGATTCAGTCCATATTTTCACTTACGAGCAAGAGAAATCACTTTGCATTAAAACATTTGAACTTCCCACATAGTTTGTTTGAGTAAAATTTGCTATTTTCATGTTTTGTTTTGTATAAAGTCGAATGAATGTTTGAATGTTGAATTGGGTATCTGTAATGAAATGAATATAAAGAGTTTTTACAGATCGCTTCGTTAAAAGAAAACAACATCATATGGTATTGAGATGACGTAATTCTTTAACAAAATAAGAATTGTGAGCGTACTTTGTTTCGCTAAAGCAAAGCAGTAGATTTTTTCATAAGAAGAAATAGTTGTTAATAATATTATGCAAATAAACATTTAAGAGTGTACCTATGTTTGTCAAGATGGTATCTGTACAGTTTAACGCCAAGGCGGCAATCCAAACATGGTCATAGCATTGTGGTGCAGCAAAGTCCGTGCCTTTGTACTTTTTGTTGTAGCTTCGGTGATTATAGAAACGTGTTTCGAATTCACTGACTGAGATGCAAATGTATAGCATAGTATTATTACAAAATTTTAAGTAAATCGCCATATTTCAAAAAGAATAATATAAAATAACTAGGACTTGTTGCATTTTTTGATCAGTAGTCTTTATAATTCAGTATTTTTCATATTACGTGCAAGAAAAGTTTTCATTAAAATTTTAATTGCAATTTGCCGTTCTAATAGTCATTTCTTGAAAAAATTCTAACTAATTTACAGTGTTTTGTTTTGTATTTAAATCGAAGGCATTTGAATTATGAACTTGGTTTATAATGAAATAACAAAAGAGTTGTTCAAAAATCACTTTTAAAAAAAATACATATTATGAGATGAGCTAAATAAACAAAATAAGAATGGAATATTATGCTTTCCTAAAGATACTGATTTTTCAAAAAAAATGTATTTTAATAATTGTAACAAATAAACATGTAAGATTGTTATCTAAATTTTTAAATAATGTTTTTTTTACAAAATAAAGATTAATTCTAGTAGAATCTTTTTATCACAACTATTCATTAATATGTCAAGTTTAAAAATATTGGGATGAATGTTAAACCTGGGAAGAAGAGATTTACGTCTTATGTCATTAAAGTACGAACATTCAAATAAGTAGTGAAATTCATCATCAATAGCTTGATACGGACAAAAGGAACAGACCCTATTATTATGATCAATTGCCAAATGTCTGCATTTTTTCAATTGGTAATAGGTGATTCATTGTTCTGAATTTAAATAAATGTTTGCCTATGTCAAAAGGAAGTACATCAAGATATTTTTCAAAACAATGAGTATTTTTATATGTACGATACACTAAACACTTAGAGGATGTATCAATAGCACTATGTCAATTTTGCAAAAATTGATCTTGTAGTCTTAGCTTCACAATATTTTTAAAATGATTAATATTATCTAACTTCTGTAAAGGAAAATATTCTGACATGCCAAGATAACTAAGTGTTTCTTTCACAAAATTTATCCATTTAGAATTACAGCAAAAAATGAGAATAATGTCATGAAAGCAGGTGATAGAAAGAAGCTTGCAGGCTCAATCAAACATAGTCTGTAATATGTTTTTATCCATTTTGTGCTTTTTTGTGCGACCGGTTTTTTGTTTTAAATACTTTTATCCCATCTTTGTAACAATCATTTACTAATTAAGATATAGTGTATCGGTTTTGAAAACATTCAGGAAAACGTAATTTATATTACCATACACAATAAGTATAATTACAGTTAGCGCAACTTTAGCACAAATACCTGTCAAGTCAGCTACACCTCTCTCTTCAAATGGATTTTTAAATATAGGCCCAGTCAGAAACGCGCCTTCTGCTGCCTCCTCCATTTCTTCTACTGTACATTCTACGTCATCAAGTTTCACTCTCCAGAAAGTGGTGGAAAACCAGCCAGCAAACACCCAAACAATTTTGGGACCGTAAAGACCAATTCTATAGGCCTAACCACATAATCTTTTTACTTTTTAACATATCATTTGGAAGCACAGCGCATTACTTTCAAATCATAATCGGATATTTATAATCTTAAGAAAAAATCAATTGGTGTTTCTGGGGATAGAAATGAACGTTTACTGAGCAACAAACATTTACAGATCCTGTAACTCAATCTTTTTTATGGTTTTATATCATAAATATGATGCTCAAATGAAGATTTATCAATATTACCGAATTTACATTTCATGCTTATAAAGGGGCCCCTTTATAATAAATAAATTGGAAATTTATTTTCTGTAAAGTCTGAGTAAAATTTTCCAATAAGAAATGTATATATATATTTTAATAATTACATAATGTGGAGAAATATTTGCAGTACATATTTTACATATTCTTCGATGTTTGAAAATTATTTTAGAAGCATAATTATAGACATACATGTATATAAAATTTCACTTAACTGTGGTTACAACCAGAATTACAACATACAGGATCTTTAAACTTATTGTATGAAGTACAATTTTAGTCCGACAATTTTGTACAACAAAATAATTTATTGCGTAAAACTAAAACTTTTAAAAAATGTAACCGTGATAAAATGCGTTACTTGACTCAGCTAATAAAATGTTCTAATTATTCTATTAAGCTTAATGGTTTGTTTCGTATTTAAGCGGAGAAAATCAAATTTGACATTCTCTTTTGTCAAATTTGCTCTGAGCAATCAAAATATCATTTATTGTTCACAAGAAATAACTTTTATGTCAAGGATTATGTGTCAGCAGTATAATTCATCATCATAAATACATGTTACAGTAAAATTGTGTTACAGTAAAATTGTGTTACAGTAAAATTGTATTTGTTAAAAGATAATATATTAATATGACTCACTGCACACAGAATCGCCCTTGCTTCGTCTTCATGCAGACTGGTCATTATTACTCTGGCGTCATGCATCTTGTTGAATCATAAAAAATAAAATATTTGCAGTATCATTTAACATTGTTCAGAAGATAAGGTAAAGATTATATATATGAAAAAGAACTGATAAACATTTATGAATATATCAAATTTAAATATTTTATTTTAAATTTGTCATCTTAAATAATTGTCATCTTAAATAACCAAGGCATTCCGTATGATTATTTAGTCAATATATTTAAGTCTTTTAAGTATTTAAATGGGCTCTGTTCCACTATTTCTATCTTGATCAAGTAAAAAAAAAATATGAACTTCGGTGATCCAATCGATTTAGTCGCTGCATAGATAATTATATTGCGATCTTGAAATTTCTGATAACATAAGTTTTAAATAACCGGGTTTTTGTAATTAAATTATGATCTCTGAATTCTTATTTAAGTAACATAAAATACTCATAGAATCAGTAAAACTCAGTATAAGAATCAAAATAAAATTGGAAATACTTAACCTTCAGGTTGTTAATACGGTTAAGAGGATCGTTAACAAATATTTCCTGTGACAATATTGAGATGTCTGTCTCTTGTATTCGTTGCACAAAATCGTCTATAACCTGAACGATAATAATTATATTCCACAAAATAAAACAAATGTTTAACAAACAATAAAACCCTAGAACTAAAACGTAACATGTATTAAGACTATGGTTGAATATTTCTGCCACCAGATAACCATTTAACTAACTAGTTAATTAAGAGGTTAACTAGTTACGTAACTAGTTAACCTCTTCATTAACTAGTTAGTTATCAGGTTATCTTGTGGCAGAAATATGCCACCATATAAGACAACATATTTTTTTTGTAATTTTATGTTAAAATTTCTTTATAATTTGTAGGATCATTTCTTTATAAAATTACCAAATGTGAAAAAAACGAAAGCTTATTGTAAATGCTTAAATCTCATACCGTTTTCAATATTTTTTCATACAAAAATTCGAACTTTTACCTGATAAAGGAAAAATTAAAACTTTTTAAAATAAAATTAATTCGTGTTTTAAGGTAATATTTAAGACCCTTAACTCTACTTTCTTATTTACCACAGAGAAGAACTCTAATGCTTGATGTATAGTTGCCACTTTTTTCCACTTGAATTCGTTCAGGAGGGCAATTCTGGCCTGATTCATCTTCTGATCAGGTTCGACAATCCGGTAAAAATTGGGAAATCGTTTTCTGTCCGAAAGGATTGGGGAGGAAGAGCCATAAGAAAACTGAAATATAGAATATTTTATCTTTTTAGTAACTTCCTTTCAAGCGTCAAAATTAAACATGACACTGAGGAAACTTATCAAATTTGACTGTTAAGTAACTTCCCTTTCAGTACAACATTACCATTGTTCTCTTTCCGCGTCAAAATTACGCACAAGACGACTTTGAGAACCTCAAACTATCTTGTCGAACAGTGTCTAAATTGACTGTGTCTGGATCCATGCTTGTCGCAAACGCACTATGTTGTTTTTGTCGTGCTGCTCAAATGAGAAGAGACTTTTTTGACAACACAGATTGTTTGTTATATACCTGGGTAAGGTTCCAAAGATGAGAAACTTGGGCTGTTGCTTCAGATCCCACTGAGCAACCGTCTCCCAACAGCATTACATAAGGTGGGTCTTTATAGAAGGCTTCAAACATCCGGAACACCGGTATTCCAAATGTGCACTAGAAAAAAAATAATGTAATCAATAAAAAATAATATCTTTGTCCAAAAGATGTGTGTGTGTGTGTGAAATTTTATGCAAAAGGTAAGTTTGTTACTCAATTTGTTCAGATATGTCATGAGATTTACGATAACAAATTGTTTGTCTTGAGTATTGAGTTAATGATATTTATGATAAGATGAAGTTTCAAGTACATGTATTTTTAAACGTTTTAAAATATGTAAAATCAATAAAATTTCAAAAGTGATTTTTTTTTCTTTTCTTTTTTTTCTTTGGTTACAGTAAAAGATTCAAATGTTATTTTCCCCAAATTCACCATTTTTGAAAGTGTCATATGTATAGATTTGAAAGAATAGTGAAAAGGTGTCACTGTTGAAGAAAGCAAAGCTTCTAGTAAATCTAAAAACCACATACCTGACTGTCAATCCACTTGTAAGTTAGATTGTACTCTGTTAGTATGTCCATTCTGGAGTTGATATCCTCAAGTGCCATCTGTATTGCTGGCAAACACGATCCTCCGCCTGCCCAACCATTGCCAGTCATAGGTAACATACCTAGCAGACGCAGATCCCGTAATTCTTTCGAAACAGAATATGAAAACGTTGTAGTCATAAATAATAAAACATTCAGTTTCTGTGCCATTCTAAACGTGTAACGGTTGCAAGAAGACGTATTCATCCGTATTTAGTAAACCTCTAAGCTATAATTTGCTTTTTTAAGACTCTGGGCCTTTCGTTCGTAACAAGACGTAAATTTTACATCGAAATATCTTCCGGTTTGTTCCAGAATTTAGATACAAGTATCTCTTCCCTAGTTGGAAACAAAACCCAATTAACAACTTATAACGCAGCAATTTCATTATAAATATATGTCTATATAAGTGGTATCAAGAAAAGATCAAACGTTTCCTAAACTAGGTAATTAGCCAGGTTAGATATGTACCCTTTCATTTTGTCATCAGTCATCCTCGTGATATTTGCAATCAGTCATCATTTGTCACCATCATGTCAACTATTTTACATACAACAAATTAGATTTAATAGGATTGGAACCAGATAAACTACCAACAAGTATATGAAATGAATGTCTTAAAGTGGTTTCAAAGCTTATGGAATATTTTACATTAAATTGGAATCAGATTTACACTGAATTGTTTCTATTTTTATTTAATTATTGATATAGTTCGTGGTTTGAATTAACGTTACTTGTGTAACAAATTCATAAAAAAAAGCTGAACAAGCGTTTTCGAAATACAAACAATTTATCAATTCACTGTCTTATTGATGGTTTATTTACTTATTAATGTAAAGTATTAAATTTTCTAGTTTCTGCGATTTTGCGTATCACATTAGTGCCGGTGCTTTGTTGTTTATGTGAGGTCAATACGTTTGTCTATGCTTCAGGTAACAAAAGCTTTTGAAACGCAGACATCTAGTTACAAAAATGTATCATATTCTTTCTCTATCGAAGTTAGCGTTATATACCCCAGGTAAACTAGTATATTCCCACTCTAAAAATTTAGTGAACTATAACATTAACAATGAACGCACTTGAACAGCAAGATATTTTGGGGTCACAATATTTTTGTTATATTAAATATGTAATGCTACAGTATAGAGATATTTTTTGAGTCACTAGATTATAAATCATCTAAAATGAAACTTTGAAATCAATACAGGGTCAGAACTTTGGAATTTGCAGGAAGTTACTTATGACTTTAAATGATATAATATTTTTTTCTACTCTACGTCATCAAATTATGTAACACTTTACATAAAAGATTTCGAACCTGACAATAACCAACAGATCAATATTAATATAATAGAAGGATTGCAGATCTATATCAACCTACACTTTTTAAATTTATAACTTTATTTCAAAAGATAATTTAGTTTACTGCTTTTTAAGAAAGAAAATGAGTTTTTCAACTTCATCGACTATTAGCTTAGGTAATGTCAATCAATGAACACGTCACACGTGTTATTGTGCAATTATTCTGCTGACGGTGTTGATCAGATTAATTGCAATACTGTACCAAAATAACACAGTTTTCATTTTTTTGAAGTGATGTACAAATGAGTACAAATGAGTAAAAACAAATGTTGCCATGGTAACTTACAAATGTAATAACTAACTTATCAATGCGCATGATCTGAAAGTTGAAAGGTCCTCAACGTAAATGGGCAATCTATCGGCTTTATTTTAATGAGGTTAGTTTTTTAGTAGTGTAACTTAGTTTATGGATAGCTTTTGTAAAATACGCCAATAATTAGACTTATTTAGTATCATCAGATCCTATAGTAATAGACAATGACAAATGAAAAATACCATATCGACAAATTTTCCAACATAAAGACAGTTACATTGGTATCTTTCTTAATTAGTCTTTGACTGATAACTTTGGAGTAAAACACAATGATAAGTGTGATTTGATCCTAATTAAATATAATTAATTTTGCCAACATCTATGTTAGGAAACTTGAACAAAATACAGAGCAAAATTATTTTTACACTTATTTTTATTTCTAGACGGGAGCTGACATTTTACTAAAGATAGAAAAATGTAAGGCAAGAAAGCCATCCTTAGAAATAAATATATCTACTTTATATTTCTGAAGAGTCAGTGTAATAATACAGTTGTCCATATATACAACACAGTGACCTTGCAAAGCCTTTGAATGTAAACTTTTAGAATAAAAGTTGTGACATGATAAACCATTAAAACATATAGATTGGAGGATTCCTTTAGACCAAAGAAAACAGACCATATATATTATATCATAATCACTTTGACCTGAGTATTTTAGCTGTAAATATTTGTAGGTCTTACAAAAGGAGTCAATTACACCATGTGACCTTTAAGTTAACACCCCCCCCCCCCCCCAAAAAAAAAAAATAAAGGAGAAAAAAAATTTATAACAATGTATATTGATCTAATATATTCATCTACCTTGTCTAAGGCCCGTAGTCAGAAACAATACTTAAACTTAATCTCGACTAAAACTCACGAAAAGTCACCTCAAGTAACGCTGGAGTAGACTTACAGTAACTCACCATGCGCAATGGAAAAAGTTGTTAAAAGAATTAATTATTACAAATCTTGATGTAAAAGAAAACAAAACGAAAATAATTTTAATCTATGTTCTATAAGTAAAAATAAAAGCGTGATGGAAAATCTAAAAATAATTAAATAGTTTGCAAGTAGTAAATGCCAGGATAGCAAAATTATGTTGGAAAACCTCAAAGACAGGACGAAAAAAGGAAGGTAAAGAAGGTAATGGAAGGGTTTCCGACAGGAATTTAGAACAAAAAAAAATTACAGTTCAATAGTGTAA